CTAGTGGTGACATGAGCTCCCCTGGGAACATGGTTTGTGAAATTTGGGGGGAGCTCTCTAAAATACCGATATGATGGCCAAATAAATTCCATTTTGGGCATGTTTTTTTTTTCAAAGGTGTAAAATAAGTGAAATAAAATTATATTTATAGTTTATGATTCATGAAAAAAGTGTCGCCTGCTTGCACGCTGCCCGCAGCTCCACCCACTACCCACTCACTCACAAGCTCGTTTAGTTGTTGCTGCTGCTGACATGTCGAAAAGAAAAAAACAACTTACCTTGGGCAATTTCTTTAAAAAGACGGCCAAACAACCTGATCAAGAAGACCAACCGAATGTAGCTGGTGGTAGCACATCGTACGTTGTGGGTGCTGCTACAACAGATCCGAGAGAGGAGGGAGCTAACGTCAGTGCTAGTGCTAACTTGACAGCTAACGTTAACTTGGGGGCTGAAGAGACAAGAAGACGAGCCGTTGTGTTGTGTGTGTGGCGTCGCGTCTCTCCAGGCAGTGAGAGGGTTGTGTTGTGCTATAGCTGTATTATTAATATTAATATTGTTCATGGTTGGTGCCGCTGGCTGCTCTTATCGCGTGTGTTCGGCTCTGTGTAGGCTACAGCCATAATAGGCTATAGCCCATGTGAAACAATGCAGCCTGTTTTTGAGTCATTTTAAGTTGATTTAATTAAACAGTCAAACGTTACATTGGTGGTCCGTGGATTATTTATTATCAAGTTGATTGAAGTTTGCGTAGCCCATACATGCTCGGGAAATCTGTTGACATGAAAATGATCCATCGGGACGTTTCATGTCAATGTAGACCTGTGGCACCACCCCGTGTGCAACAGATTTTCTCTTTATAATAGGCCTATGTCTGTGCTGTTGCTATTAATGCACGGATCAGCGTTTTTCAAATTCGAATACAGTTAGCCTACTTGATTTTTGTATTCTGATTACGTAACACCGTTACATGTATTCCGTTACAACCCAACCCTGGCCACACCCCACTGGGCTGGGCCGGAACACTTACAAATGTGGGCCGGTAGGATTTAGGCAAAAAAAAGTGGCCAGTCCGCCCCTGCTACTCACTCACACACACACATAAACTCAGACAGACTGAAAAACCCTTCATGCTGTGACTTTCAACCTTTTTTCAGCTGGACACACACACACCATTAAGACCTTGCTCTTTTCTTGAGCACCGTGTTAATAACAAGCAGCAGGTTAATATGAGGGCAGCAGCAGACTGAAGTGTCTGCAGCCTACTGATTAGCCAAACTAGCACAGTTATTAGCCGGTTTGACATCTGAAACCAGACCTGCCGTTCTCAGAGGACTGTTAACCTTACAGCTATTATAAAGATAACTATCTTATCCGTTTAAAAACAGCAATTCATTTATAGGTAATAAGTTCTTAATCTAATGACCAACGTTTTTTGTAATATGCACAGACAGAAGGTACACCAGCGCTATCTTAGTTGCACACGCACAGGTTTTTCTTATTTGCCATATTCATACGTGTGGCTCCAGGGATGGCAATGTCAGTCTGTCAACATTATGGAACAAGACGAAATAAATATCCGAGCCAGTATTCCGAGATTGCCAGGGAATTTTGCACAGACTTTCAAAGTCCCATCAGGATGAATTGAATGAATAATTATGGTCATCCTTTAATTGTTATGTCATCATCAGTTATTCTGTTTAGGACAAAATTCTTGCACAACTTATGACATTTTCTCAACTTAACGTTAGACTAGTGAGCACATTTTAGCTTGCTAACAAGCCAAACTAAGATTGACCTCTAGGAAAACATTACAACTACTAATCATTGGCGTGTTAGCATTGATCATGATAGCATGCTAACAAAGTCTTGTTCTGCCATCTCCAATCCTAAAGACATCCATGAATTTGCACTAAAAGCAACGTAGATGACAAGCAATAAAGAAGTCGGTATAGTAAGACCTATGAAATAAGTACATTATTATTGGTAAAATAACTTTAACCGTGAATTAGACTTCCCTAAATCATGCACCGGCATCCTTATAAGGCGTTGAAACAAATGGGTTTGAATACCAATATAGTATCAGATCTAGGCCCTTTATGATTTCCAGTCCCACCAACTGGTATAATTATATTTTGTCAAATCAGTTTGGGGGAAAAAAGGAACTGCCATTTGAACAAAGGGCGACTCCTGCCAGAGTGACTAGCCAGATCCCCAGAGCTGGCAGCCAGAGTTTAAGAATCGTTTGGCTAACATTTCCACTTGCTGTGACTTGTCCTCAGTTCCCTGCCTGTGGGGAGGGAAGTGGGGGACAGGAGACAATTCCCTTGAAAACCAAACACTGTAATCATGCCTCAAAGGCATTCTGTCCATCAGCCTGAGAGGGCACTGAAACATTCCTCATCTCCAGATATCTCTCTTCTCTGTGTAATATTCAAATTGTTTTATATTTCCCACGTGATAACACTGATAACCTTTATTTAATCAAAGCAGTAGTCACGCTTTTTTAGCACCCTGTGTCAAAAAGCTAATTAAACCTTGAAGAATATTGTGATCCAGTTTATCTTATTTCAATTGTCTGGTATTACATTATTTCTCTGCTCAATGTTATGTATGACACAACCAAAGAACAGGGATATTAAAATATAATATAATATATATATATATATATATATATATATCACGATACCAGCATTAAGATAAATAGGGTATACTTTGAGTGACTATTCAAAGATTATTGCCAACACAACATGAAAACTCCTATTCTTCTTAATTTTAGAATTTCTGTGGCTTTTGTTTATCTTTATAGCCTGTTTAAAGCTCTGTATGTGTGCCATTTATTTAAAAATATCCATCACGCTTGGCAATAATTAAGGAAACACTGAGTCAGGACAGAAATTAGCGAGACATTTTGCATTTCTTGTTCTTGTCCAACACTATTAATAAAAACCAAAGCCCTGCTTGCAATGCAGGTCATAATTCTCCTTAACTCCATTATTCTGGCTTCTGTCCCCGTCACAAGAGGGATATGTGTATTAATTACTTCATCTTGGCTTGTAACGTCTGCATTGGTGTTGCTTTAATTAGACCAACTGGGCTTTTGAAACTTTAATATGATCATCCCGGGCCTCTCTGAGCTCGTACATTTTTAGTGAGTTGGCCCCGTTTGGAATTGGATTCCTAAACTTTGGCAGATTGTGATTCTGTGTGCAGCGAACGTGTTGTACATCAACTAATTATTAAGAGCCCATGAAAAGAACATAATTTGCAACAAAAAGCTCACAACTCCTCCAAAAACATAATTACTGTTTGCCTTACATTTTTTCTAACACAGACAACTTTGAATACTTGAGAATAAGAAATTACAAATTATATGTAAACGTTTTTTGCTTTGCACATATTCTGTTGGTTTGAATGTAATACCCTCATTGCTCTCTTCTTGATCTTATCCTCAAGCAAAAAACTGTCCAGCAGGCTGTCACTCTATGTTAATGTGTGTGTGTGTGTGTGTGTGTGTGTGTGTGTGTGTGTGTGTGTGTGTGTGTGTGTGTGTGTGTGTGTGTGTGTGTGCAATAGTTTATAATTTCCTGTTTATGTATTACTCTGTTGACTGAGCAGAAACACAGACAGACAGATGAATGGATGGAGGTGACATGAAGGTTGGTTGCTGAGCTAATCAATGGATGTGTGAATGCAATGAATAGACAGATAGGTGGATGAAAGGTGGCGATGGTCTCATCTGATAAGGCCAATTCTAGTTAGTGTATCTGTCAGTCTTCCTGGAGGACAGAGGGATGAAGAAAGGGAGAGAGAAAGAGGACCCTCATGCTTGTGAGTAAAGTGTCACTACAAAATTACACAACTGTGAGGTGAAGGTCAACATTCATATTCTTTTGTAACTCACCTTAATTATTTTTTCATTATTTCAGTTGTCAGATGTGTTTGAGGTCAGAAATGCTTGTAGAAAACCTGTAGAGGGGTCAGACAGTTAAGAAGATCATACAGCTATGCATTTAGTATTGTATTTAACACCCCAACAATAATTTGTAAAAATAGATTGAACGTGGGCAATTAGAAGAGTACTATGATCAGACAATCAACAATCATAATGTTAGTCTTCTTGTTCTGTGGATCACATTCACACACAGACCAGAACACAGTTGGTCGAGTTCGACACATTTTTCTATTAAGTCAATGGTCCCTTGCTAAAATGAATAACATTTACCAAAGAATACACCAAGGCTGAGACGTGGTGGGGTTTAAGGTTAAATCAGCAGAAACATTTACGCTGTGGAGAACGTGTGCTACAGTACAGCAGCACCCCCTGTTAGTAAACTGTTGATAGTGCATTTAAAAAATAGAAAAAGGGTTGTCATTCAAATTTGACAATTATGAACAAAACAGATTAGGCTACATGTTACTGTAAACTTGTGAACCATGTGATAAACGAGAAAAGTTTGATTGGGACATCTACCTGTGAAGTAGGATGATGTCATAAATACCCATAACATAATTTGGTAATGCAATGGAAGATATAAACCAATTGGATTTTTTAAGAAATCATTTTGTTTACGTTTGCAGTTATATATGTTCAATATATATATATATATATCGCTTAATTATTTTATATTTATTAATGGCTTCTGTCACATAGTTAGACAAATCAATTATAAACGTCCACCTTCAATACTATCACCTGGCTGCTATCACAAAACTGGTACAGGATGTACATTTTGTAAGTTGTAAATTGTGTAGCTTTAACTTTCATTTTAAATATTTTATGAATGCTTGTAATTAATATTAAGCTATATTTGTCTCTTTATTTGCTGCAACAATGTACATTTCCCCTCTCTGGGACCAATAAAGGTATTGTGATTCTGATATTTCCATTTGTAATATACATTTTTGAACCGAATCAGACCAAAACGCAAAAGTGTTCCACCCATTAATAACTAATTAAACAATAACCCAACCATCCTTAAAATGAAACCAGGAGCACAGAGTAGAATCAACTTGTTTATTAAACACTTAATCAACTGTTTAATACATCAGAACATCAGACTGAGCTTTAGCTGCTTTGTCAAAAACAGACAGTTACTGTTAGCTTATATCGTCGCAAACCTAACATTCAATCTCTGATGATAGCGGAGAAAACAAAAACACTGAAAATGTTTGCGCCATCATGAAGTGAACCTCAAGAAAAATATCCCTTTAATCAAATGAGTGAAATAATCGTCAAAGTTAAGGTGTAATACTGAGAATATCAACAGCACAATGTAGGAATACATTCTGTCAGGCAATATTTAAACCACTGTTGTGCTATTTTGGAGTTGGTGTCCATAAAACACTGATTGTCAACAGAACTGAGGTATGATTACCTGGTACAACTTTCAAAACACAGTCAGGGATACAAAGATCTTGGAACAGAACAGGAGATTAGATGAGCATCAAACTGGGGTTAGCAGCAAAATGATGTTTTAAGGCAAATGCAGTGAAAAGTCAGCAAACCCGTTTCTGCCAACGACCACAAAGAACTCCTTAAAGACTTTTAAATCCACCTGAAGGGAAACATTTGACACTTTCATACTCATTCTGCATATTTCCATTTTCTAAAACAGTCAACTTGTCCACCTGCCTGCAGACAATCAGGAAACATTTTCCATCTTCCAACCCTACAGCTTATTTCCAGGTACAAGAGCTAATACTGGGTTGAACACTGCAGGAAGGCGATTTCTATATGAAAGAAAAACTGAACACATGCTGAGTTTAGATATGAGCCGTTAATGAAATGTCTACAGTAGACTAATGAAGAACCTTGATTGAAGTATCACTCATGTCTGAAAACTATTTGCTATATGGACTAATCTGAAAAGGTATTCATGAATATTGAAATCTCTGAGTTCAGGGTCTTTTATATCTTCCCCAAACCCAAAACAACAGACCCAAGAACTTCGTTAAAATAGTATGTTGTATGGCATCACCCAACAAAATGAGGGGGGAATTTTGTGAGACAAAATGTCATGTCATGACAGAGATAATCACTTATGTCTGTAAAATAGTCTATAACTATTGAGGAAGTTACGTTACAATATTGTACCTAGAAAATGGGAAAGCATGTTGGAAAACAAAGGCCAAAATCTCTACTTTAAATTTGAGATTATTTGTCTGATAACTCAGTCCTACAAGTCAATAGAGAGAAGTGCTTTGGATTAGAAGCTAACACTACATAAGCAGACATTTACATCACAATCATGCATTTCACTGTGCACAACATCGAAGCACATTGAGGGAAAACCAATGAGAAATCCTCTGAATGACTTACTTCAGAGACTAAGAGGCAGTTTACCGTGAAGTACAGTATGTTTGGCAATAAAGATTTCCTGAAAATATCATGTCAATGTTGAATAGAAAAAATGTACTGCATTTGTATTAAATCATATTTCACTTGAGGACTAAATTCAATGAACCAGGCAGTGTTCTTATGTCTAAAACTAACAAGTCAACAAGTGGTTACTTGGGATTCAGCCAGAAATTACAAACACATACTGTATGAGCAACGCTCTTCTTTTTATACTCACTTTTAATATGGTCTTCTCATGCATGTATGTCTTTGCACATGGGGGGAGAGGCTACAAACATACAGCTAATTCTGACGATTTATTTGAGGCTAAGTACGTACAAATCAATTTATCTAAACGTCGAGCCTGCTACGCTGCAGTTTACTTTCAGTTAAACATTTATTTGTTTGTGTTTCTCACAGCATTATATGTTTGTTAAAAATCAACAACAAACCTTTCCAGAGTCCATGCATTAATGCATACGGATATTACAAATCTAAATTCTGTTTTTAAAAAGAAAGCTTTTTGTCACTTAAGTGCTTTTGTCAATTTAAAACAAATGTCTTAATAGCTCGAGTGCTCTAATAGTTATTCACCCTTTAATTGTTCAAAAATAAAAAAATACAGAGACAATTTTTATATTTAAAGTCAATTAAATCTACAAAAAAAAGCTTCCTAATTAAATCTGGTTGTAATAACACAAATACAATTAAAGTTTAGGGTAATTATAGATTCTTTGTGTCATTGTTACTGGTATACAATGCACCATATTTTGTGTTTTCACCAATAAATTTAACACACCTTACAAATATTTACTGATTTTTGTACTAATATTTGTAAGTTCAAAACCTCAATAGTATGTTTAATAGAGTAGATCTCGGTTTTTATAAACAAACAATGACCTATGTCATTGTGGACATTTCTTGTTTTCAAATCATGTTAAATAGAAGAGATGTTTCTTCTTTAAATGTACACATTAAGGTTTCTTCTAAAGCAGAACTTCTTTAGGTTGTTTGTGCGTTAAGTCTTTCGTAACTTTTCTATATACATTGTGCCTGTTAATGTCACAGAGTTTAGCACAGAGTTTTTATTAGGTAAACTAACTAATACCCAACAGCTACACGGAAATCTACCAGGGTTTCAATTGATTTGTTAATTTCTTTAACACGACAAGGGAAGAAATGTGTCTTTTTCTAAATGACACTGGTTCCCCAAACAGGAAAAAAAACCCAAACCAAAGACTTCTGATGCAGGAAGCTGTGGTGTGTAGCCGTGTGTCTTCCTGCCTCTCCCTCCAGAGGGCAGCACTCAGCTGCCAGGAACCTTCGCTCAGATTTGGAAACTAACTGGGGGAGAGGTCATAAAATGTGTCAGCATGAAATATTCTTTCATATAGTTAAAGTATCTGCTTGTACTTGTTAGTCTCCTGGTTCGTATGACCATCTTGATCACTCATCCTTTGAATCCTCTTCATGTTCAGCCACAGATTCGTGAAACAGTTCTGGTTTCGAAACAAACCCAGGAAACATGGGCTTCCCATTTCACACATAAAGTAGCTTCTCTATTAAAACTCCTTGTGTGAGTCTTTGAGGGCACTTTGGATCTTACCCTTTACTTGTTTTATGCGTGCACCTGTAAATTCAAAGAAAAAACTGAAGTACCACCAGCATGTTAGGTCTGCAGGTATAATAATTTACTTCACTTAAAGACCACTTTCTTGGACATACTCTGTGTCTCAGTCGTCCACCTTTGGAACTGAAAGAGTATGCCTTAAAGTCGTCCATGTTGCTCTGTCCTGTTGTGGTTTTGGAGGTCAAGGACTAAACCTTCAAGTGCCGCCGTTGTTACTGCACTACTCGTCTATGAGGGATTCAGTCGCGGCTCTCCTCGAAATTATGACTCCTCCATCACCTCCATGACGATTGTCCGGGGCCCGGTTAGGATCAGGCTGCTGACGGTCCGGTAGTCGTGAGAGAGGACGCACAGCCCATTCACCGACACCACGAAGTGACACACCTAAAGAAGAGACCAAACGGAGAGGAGAGAAGATTGATGCTTTGAGTAATACTCTCAAATTTCACATCAGTTTAACAAAAATGTAGTCAAACAGAGGTGGGAGGGAAAAGATGGATGGCGTAAAGACAGCCATGAGAAGAAGAGAGAAATAAGAAATGATTTTATTGTGGAGTAAAATGCTTATCATGACTTCACTCTTTGAGCTATGGGAAGACAATAGCGTGGTGTGTTCAGCAATGTTATCCAGTGTTTGAGGCATATTTGGATCTGTGGTAAAGAAGGAGATCCTCAACATTAAGGAGAGGTTAAATGTTGAATGTATGTTTCCCCTGGTCAATATGTTGAAATCACCAACAGCTCATAGTCTACTGATGTTATAATCTCTTGAACCGATGCGCTCTAATTTGAGGAGAGGATGTCTTTTTTAAACTTTAGAGTTTGAATAATTCACAGAGGCTGAATGGATTTTTAACATACATCTTACTTTGTTCTTTTGTAATTTTGCAAATGAACTGGACATTTCTGGGGTTTCTTCTGGGTCTCCATTGGAAACCATTGTAACGGATGTGAATCTAAATGGACCATCACTCTCTTCAGGGCTTTATTACTTCCAAGCTTCAAGGGCCTCAAAAGCTGCAGGCTTACTGTGTGTCAACTGATTTATAACTCTGTCCCGCCAGGAAAATAATGTTTTAAGTTTGGTTTGTCAGCAGGATTACAGAAAAAGGACTGTCCCAATTTCTATGAAACTTGGTGGAGGGTGTCTCCACTGTCTAGCAAAAGAGAACGAATTCTCTGCAAAATGCAAACAGATTTACCAAATTGCTAATATTGGCCCAGGAACAGGTTCATCCAGCCCTGCCATTGTCCTCAAATGAGCTCTCCAAGCATTGTATGTGTACTGGGGATGAATGTTTGACACACCAACATTTATTTCTCTGTATTTTCATTTTTGTATCACAATGTTTGTTTCATCTAGTGAAGATTGCCGGAAAAATTATAAAAATGGTGCTCACAAAAAAAACTGTTCTGTTGCCTTTAGAAAAACAATTGTCAACTCACTTAAAGGTGGGGTAGGTAATTCACTTCAGAAACACTTTTTGTTATATTCCATGGAATGCTCTTAACATCCCGATAGCAATGAATATCTTCAGTGCTTTGACAATAAATACATAAAAAAATGTCATCTGTGGAAGCCGTGGCGCTGTAAAAAGCACGACCAATCATCTGAGCCGGCCCGGCTAAAGTAACTGGATGGCCTACCTGCCTGTCAGCCTTCCATCTGTGCACAGACTTATCTCGTGCCCTCATTGGTCATGTGCGCGTTCGTGTGTGTTGGAGGAGGGGCTCTGTAAGGAAGTCTGAAGGAAGGGGCAGATTTGTTTCGACTGCGTACTTTCAAATTCTAGCGCACTCAAGCTGGTTTCTCCATTCGTACCTACCCTACCTTTAAGCAATCAGTCAATAACTCTGTAAGACAACACTGGAATGTCAACATAGTCCAAGTCCAAAGAGGAACAATAAACTACACCAGGTACAAGTGATAGCCACGTTTAAATCACTCCAGTGTCACGCCTGCACCATGCCTTCCTTATCGCTATGTAATCACTGCTCCAACTTGGCAGCTCTGATAAGAAAAAGACAGGTTGCCTGAGTTGACTTCTAGCAACATATTGCCGTCAGTTCTGCAGCTGCGGTTTGGCTTTTTGCAAGCTTTTACAGACACACACTCAAACATGCAAGCACACTCCCAATTCCTTCCCAAAAGTTTTCATAAAGCAAGACTGCTGAGTGAGGACGGAAGACAAACTTTCACAGATGTGTTTCATTGGCTTCTAACTCGGGAAACATTTTACTGGGAGCATCTAGTTAAACCAAACTATTACCTACATTCACTACTTCCTGTTAGTATGTTTTCATGTATCTATTTTTAAAGCATTAGATGTTTTTTCTAGCCTTGCTAAATATTTCAGGAAAGGAGAGGCAGAGTGCATCATGGGAAAGAGGGATTAAAAGAATGACAGAGTAAAGGGAAAAAAGCCAGACAGTTAATCCTGTGCTGCAGAGGAATTTCAGACTTTCACTGTAATCACATCTAAACCTCTGAGCCTATATCCCACTATTTGCAGAGTCAAAGTACTCTGAACACACCCCTTTTCTACCCACTTCTATTCATTTCTCCAACACCTCCCCACTTTCTCTCCCACTGATGCTTTCTCCCTTCTGTTGGTCTTGGCTGCGGCCACCATCGATTGGCTGCCTGCTCTCAGAGGGTTCAAATCAGTCTCACACAGAGAAAGGAAAGATAGAAGATTTAGTGAGAGAATAAACAACATGTGTTAAGAGGCCAAGCTGACATATCCATGAAGCAATAGCAGCTGTAAACAGTGTAGAGAATATCCGTTCTTTACGTGACCCCCCTAAAACTGAATGTCAAACAAAAGTCGGTTTGGTCAAAATGAAGGCTGAATTGAAAATGTATTTCAAGATTCTTTGCTCACTAATTAAGGAATAATATACCTTGTAAAAGTTTAAATATGCAGAAACGTTAGGTTGTAGTTATTTGAAGCATTTCACACTACAGGGTCTAAACACGAATAAAGTACAAAAGTTTTAACTTTTAAGATGTTGGCACATCCAGCGTCCTTGAATTCATGAAGTTGTTTAACGCAGCACAACAATGGAAGCGCACATTATAAATGATATACCATCAACTAAAAGGCAAGATTAAGTATAATGGTCTCTATTTCATGTAATAATACACGGTCATTTAGTAAAGACCTGTTCTGCATGTTAATAATTGTGTTTAAAATGTTGTTAGGTAGCTTGTTACAGTAAACAATCTTTAAAAGTTATCGTTTCTGTACAAAACATTTTGAAGAAAAATGCTGAGGCTTCGTTTGTGTGTGCCTCAAAAAGAAAATCAGTTTCTGTGTCCTGGAATGTTATAGGTCAGAGGTTGGAAACTTCAGCTTGGAAAATGCCAACTTCCAAAATGTTTTTAACGCAGCATGCAAATTAAATCAATATAATAAAACGCAAACGTACACGTAATATCAAGAAGAGAGAAACCAGCTAGTTACTGATTCACCTTAAAAAGCATATATCTTTGAATAGAGATACTGAGTTGATTATACATCTATTATATGAGAGAGAGAGAGAGAGAGATGAGAAGAGAGAGAGAGAGAGAGAGGAGAGGAGAGAGAGAGAGGAGTGTGCAAACATACAGTACAGGATGCACAAAAGGACAGAAAGTGAGACACACACACAACCTGCTCTACCTGCTGCCTTGTAAAAGTGCATTAGCAGAGGCTCTAACAGCGATGCATAGGATGGTTACATAAGTGCTGGGATCCATTATGGACAGGATGAGGGTGATATGTGTGTGTGTGTGTGTGTGTGTGTGTGTGTGTGTGTGTGTGTGTGTGTGTGTGTGTGTGTGTGTGTGTGTGTGTATTTGTGTATGTGTGTGTGTGTGTGTGGTGGAGGATAGAGACACAGTCTTTGAAAGCTTGCGTGTGTCCATGAAGAGAAATATGAAGAGCTTTGAGATGCTCTTATTTCTCTGTTGCCCTTTTGCCTGGACTGCTGTGCCAACACCTCACAGCATCTCATTCTTGCTGCTGGGTTGTATTACTGCCTAATAATTACATAACAACTCAGGAGAAGTGAAAGAGGACTAACCTTTTAGGAACTGCAGGGAGTGCATTCAATTCCTAATAATAAAACTGGTGATGATGTAGCTCCAACTGTTGCACATGAAGAATGTAATCTACAAGGATCATTTTATATTCAGATTTTGTGTAGGTTTGTTTCCCCTTAGCTTATAAAGATAATGCTTTGTCCTAACCTCAACAAATAAATAAAAACACATCTACAAAATATAGTGTAAAGTTAGATGAGGTCCTCACAATCACTGAGCTCAACTGAGTAATCACACACTAAAGAAGACATAAACACACCTGCTTTCTGAGGACACATTTATAACCGACGTTGAACCATGACACACATTTCCATGGTGATAAGACATGATATATATACGACTGTTGACCACTAACAGTAACAAATGCAGAAGTCATATTATTTACACCGACCATTTCCTCTTTCAGTGCTAAAACTTAAGATCCTCATCCTTCAATCTCTACAGCTCATGCGCCTTCTAACTGATGCTCCTGCCTTTCCTTTATTCATTCATATAAGTTTCATTTGGCTGCCATTAGGGGGAGAAAACAGCAGTAGATTTGCAGTATTTCTCTGTTTAACCGAAAAAAGCATGTTATTTTTAAATCACTGTATGTCAAAACCATGTAGCTGAAGAATTTCCCAATTTATTTTAAAAGGTTATAAAAAACTAAAACATTAACAGTTTGGAACAATTAAAAGATTATACTTAGAGCCTGAGGAAATATTATAATAGTCACTGTGAAATTCTTAGGACCAGTAGTGTATCCTGTGTTTCCTCTCCAAGTCATTAGTTTCTCTGCTCCACTTTTCCTCTCTTTTTTTCCCCATTCAGTCCTTGCTCTCTCCTCCTCTTTCCGTTTTGTGGTTTAAGTCGCCACACTCTGCATTCCCAGAATTCCTTGCTGCCACTCTGCTTACATACCTTCATGGCAGCTATGGAAGCAGAGCCACCATTACCCAGCTTGTACAGCTTCTCTCTGACCATGTTTCTCATCACAGGATGCGTCCCTGTTTTTTTCTTTTTATTCTGCTCCGTCATCTTTGTCTAACACTTCTCGAGCAACCTGCACTTAAATATAACAGTATGCATTTTATTTAAGTGCAGACTTAAAGCACTCACTCTTAAAAATAAAACGTAGTGTGAATCTACTTAGCTTTCCTGTAAACATCTTAGCGACCAAGCAAAGAAGATCGCAGATATCAGAGGCAAATACCAAGTTTTAAATTGCCTATGCATTTCTCAAAGACTTAAACAACTAAGGGTTTTCTCATATTGCACTGTGGGTCAACAGTTGTGAAGAGAGTACTAAACGGCACACAAAAGGCACATTTCTCCAACAGTAATACCTCCTCATATAACCTTATTCAATTAAGCTAACCCTGTTTTCTGTCTTCCCCCACACCCAGTGGAGGAAGCACACCAGGCTCACATTTCTGTTAAGTCTCCTTTCATCCTCTCCGTCCTTACCTTCATGCCAGCAGCAGCTTGCAGGTCCACCGGGATCCACAGCCTGGATGTGGCAGGGTTTGCTGCCTCGCACCACGAAGCCCCAGCCCACAGCATCACCCACAATCTGAAGAACAACGAGAAACATGAAATGTAGATAAATCTCAACGATTTTAGCGCCCACTGTTTGTATAGAACCAAAAAACATTTGCTGATGTGGTTGTAGCAAGTGAGATGATGTTTGTGGTGAATCTCTACATAATATACTGCTTCCAAAAAAAGATCAAACCATCCACACTGTGCAACATGTTTTTAAATAATGGTACAAACATAAAATTACGCATCTTGTAGTATTCACATTTGTTTTCCTTCAAATTATTATCTGAGACACGTGATGAAGCTTCCTGAATATGCACATGACTTTAGTACCACTGCGGGTATTATCTAAAATTGTGTGTTTGTGTCACACATTCCCACATTCGTGTGACTATTGGTATGTGTGTGTGTGTGTGTGTGTGTGTGTGTGTGTGTGTGTGTGTGTGTGTGTGTGTCTTACAGTGAATGTCTTCTTTATAAAAGATCCTCCTAGTGTCTGCAGCTCCTCTGGGCTCACTTGTCTTTTCAGAACTGTTGAGAGAAACACACACACATAAGATGTTACTTGATACCCTCTTACTTGATACCATGAAAATCGAACAAAAACACCCACACACGCACGCGCACACACACACAACACACCAACACACACATATTGTTAGTTAGAAAGTGTGTAGAAAGTGCTAATAATGTCACATGGCTCACTTCTTCCTGAAACAGTATAGCTCCCTTTCCCCTCCTCCAACTTACCCTTAACATTACTCACCACATGACTCTACGCAGGACTAAAGTGGACTTTTGTGTCTCGGAAAATGATTTTACTCCCTTAGTATAACTTATAAAAAGCGTGACGTAACAGAAAACTGGGAAGATATAACTGAGTGATCAGCTACAAGGAGCCAATGTACAAATAATCCATAAAGACCCATCAACTGTACCATGCACTGCTCATATTAAAGACAAATGTGGGCGAGTACACACATCTCACATACTTCACAACAAAGCATATGGTTTAATATAGCAGTTGGGATGATATGAAAAGGAAATGACAAATGAGGAAAAAAATATATACATACTTAATGTATTAGATATTGTCTCTTTGTATTTCTCTATCTGGGAGAACGTCTTCAAAAAGCCTGTGTGTGCTGCTCAGTATGTGTGCTCCTGACAAAGCACTTGTGGTTACTGTGTGCTACTTCACTTTAATCTGATGAGACCGAAGAAGTGAAGTGAGTGAGACCCTTTTATCCTCTTGATCTGGTTATTTCCATAATCTCTCTGGATATCCTGATCTCATCACATCTAGAGGACAGTTCCTCTTTAATGCCTCATCGGCTGCTGACATATACTTTCTATTTATCCGTGTCCTCATGAAAGCATACCAGACTTGTTTTAATGTCTCCTTGAATGCTTTAGATTTTTTTGATATGATAAGATACGGTTAATTTGGAACAGAGGAGGATTTTGTACGTGTTTGTGTGCCTTCCTTTTCCTGTATTGCACGTGAGTGGTCATGTTAAGAGAGCTCTGGTGCTACAAAGAGACTTTGTCAAGGACTCCTCGACACATCAAAGCAAAAAACACACTAAGTTATTTGCACGATTAGCACACAGCAATATTCCAATTTCTTCCTCAGTTTACATGAGGTCATTAACACTGTGTGTTTTGAGTGTTTTGTGTGTTGTGTGTGTGTTATCCCACCAGATTTGGGGTTGCAAAGCACAGGTGGACTGCTGCTGAGCGTGGGACTGCTGCTGTAATACCCGCTGCTGCCACAGCTGCTGCTCATGCTGCTCCGCCGGACTCCCACCGCCACCTTAATCTCTTTAGTGGGACTCACTGAGACGCAGAGAAGAAGAAACCAAAGACAGATGTTAAACAATACATAAGAAACCTTTTAATGTCCCCAGAGGGTCCAATTTGTGGTACAGTACAGTGAATAATGTAGACACAATGAACACACTAAACACCAGTGCATAGGTTATTATCCAATGTGGCTGTGTCCCCTTTGAAATGTTCTGATAATCTATAAGCAATAAACTATAGGTTACTTACGTAACCCCAGTTCTCAGAGTAACATGAAGTGAGATGTCTCACTATGGGATGCGCCTCATCGCGGAGCAACAGAAGCATCAATCTCATTACGCCAATCCTGATTGGCTGGTGATCTTGACGTCAGCGTCAGGGAATCACCCCCTATAAGTAGCTTGCGCCACGACGCATGCATCATTCAAAATAAGCACCTCTTCTCGCTTCACCATAGCAAGGAGGGCCGTCTGGTGAGACATCTCACTTCATGTTACTCTGAGAACTGGGGTTACGTAAGTAACCTATAGTTCTCATTCATAACACTCCGTTCGATGTCTCACTATGGGAAATTGTAGCTCCCGTATTGCCAGACGAGCTTATCTGAATATCACCAACCAAACAGAACTTTAACAGGTAGAGTCCCCGACTCAACAAGGTGCCCAGCACTGCTCGGGCCACGCTTGGAGCGGAGACGTCTAGCCTGTAAAAGCGGACAAAAGTGAGCGGCGAGGACCAGCTCGCCGCTGCACAGATGTCTTGGATGGAAACACCCTTGAACAAAGCCCAGGATGTAGCCAGGCCCCCGAGTCGAGTGAGCCCGCAGACCCGAAGGTGCTTGCAAACTCTGACTCGTATAGGCCAAAGCAATTGCTTCCACAATCCAGTGGGAGAGCCGTTTGCTTAGTAACAGGCTTGCCCTTGTGAGGGTTAGCCCAGGACACAAAGAGTTGGTCATTAAGACGAAGCTCCTTTGATCTGTCCATATATGTGCGTAAAGCACGGACTGGACACAACAGATCCTGCTGCTGTTCCCCGGAGGAAACCAGCGGCGGAGGAAATGCCTCAATGTCAATTGGGGTACACGAACCAACCACCTTTGGTGTAAAGGCAGGGTTGGGCTTCAACAACACTCTCGTTTTCCCTGGGGCGAACTGAGTGCATGAAGGATGTACAGACAGCGCATGAATATCACTGACCCGCTTGGCGGATGCCAGGGCCAGTAACAGCACTGTCTTGAGTGACAGATGTTTCATGTCAACTCCTTCCAGGGGTTCAAATGGGGTCATTCTGAGCCCATTTAAAACCACTGCCAAGTCCCATAAGGGCACCAGTGACCTGGAGACAGGGAGGAGCCTGCGAGCTCCCTTCATAAAACGGCAGACCCAAAGGATGTTGGCTAGCCGTCTTACCCTCAAAGCCCACATGGCATGCAGCAATAGCAGCCAGGTACACCTTGATCGTGAGAAGAAAGCTCTGTGTTTATCGATCAAGTCCTGTAGAAATGATAAAATCACCCCGACAGGACATTGAAAGGAGATGTGTCCTTCTTGAAGGCACCACTCCTCAAACAACCCTCCACTTACAGTCATAAAGAGGACCTGGTGGAGGAAGCTCTCGCACTCTGAATAGTGTTTATTACCTTCTGAGGGAGTCCCACTGTATTCAGATTGTACCACTCACGGGTCAGGCCCATAGTGCCCCGCCGCTCCTGGGCGTGGATGAAGGATCGCCCCCCCCGCCTGAGACAATCTGTCCCTGCGTAGAGGGGGCTGCCATGGCTGCCCGCACAACAGCCGATATATCTCCGCCAGCCCGTACGTTGCGGGCTAAGGCGGAGCCATCAGGATAAGTTTGTGGCGTTGCTCCTTCACTCTGGCCAGAGTTGGGGGTATCAGAGCCAGGGGTGGGAACGCGTACAGAGACCCGGAGGTCAATCGTGTACGAGTGCGTCCACGCCTAACGGTGCGTTTAAATCGTGCATTAAAGAGAACAGCTGTCATTGAGCATTTTCTCTTTATGCGAACAGATTTAACGCGGGCTCTGCCGTAACGCACCCACAGCGGACTCACGATCCTTGGATGTGGAGTCCAGTCTGCATAGAGTGGTGCACCTCTGGACAGTAGTTCTGTCCCGAGGTTCATCACTCCTGGTACATGCGTCACTCTCAGAGAGAGGAGACGTCTGCCGCTCCAAGGGATAAGTTTGTGTGCCAGTGTGTGTGACTGGAGACAACGCAACCTCCCCTTGGCGGTTCATACACGATACTGTGGTTGTGTTGTCTGTCCTCACGAGGACATGGTGTCCTCTGAGAGAAGGCAGAAAGCGTTTTAGGGTGGGGAAACACCGCTAAAAGCTCCGGGTGATTTACGTGCGCCCGCTGGAGGTCTCTGCTCCAGAGACCCCTCACCGGGCGACCTTAGTAAATACCCTATCAGCCTGTCAGACATGCGTCGTGGTGGCCACCTTCCGTGAAAGGACAGCACCCGTAGGCGCGCCCCCGTACTAGAAAGTCGGGTGCGGCCAGTGGCGTAGTGCCATTACGCATTTCATAATAACCAATACTCTCCGCACGCCGTGGCGCGCGGGGTTTTTAGTTTTATTATGAGACCCATGTTGAGCAGGTGCTTTACGAGGACATTTGTCTGCGTAATCTGACTCTGCTCGGCGGGCATTATAGATAAAACCCTCCTTTCTAGGAGAGAGAGAATCTATCTCTCCAGAATATGGGTTGACTCTCCCCGGGCTTGTGAATACAGATAGCCCGAGAGGCGAGGGGGGGTGACGGTGACTTGGAGTCTGTAGCTCCGTGTAACCGTCTTGAGAAACCCAAGCAGATGTCGTGAGCATCTCCCGCTGTATGCTCCTTAGAGCCAGCTGAGATGTCACGTCTCTTCCCCTCTGAGTCTCTATTTGTTGTGTTATGGGGCCCTCCAGTGTCTGAGCACTGTGGTGCCCCATTTCGACCAATCCCCACCGACACAGCGGCATGCGTGTGGCGGTGGTGCCCTTACGGCTCCAGCCGGCACTGCGCATGCGCGTGGCGGGTGGTTGCCTTCACAACCCCAGCCGGCACTGCGCATGCGCGTGACGGTGGTGCCTTTACAGCTCCAGCCGGCACTGCGCATGCGCGTGACGGTGGTGCCTTTACAGCTCCAGCCGGCACTGCGCATGCGCGTGACGGTGGTGCCTTTACAGCTCCAGCCGGCACTGCGCATGCGCGTGACGGTGGTGCCTTTACAGCTCCAGCCGGCACTGCGCATGCGCGTGACGGTGGTGCCTTTACAGCTCCAGCCGGCACTGCGCATGCGCGTGACGGTGGTGCCTTCACGACCCCAGCCGGCACTGCGCATGCGCGTGACGGTGGTGCCTTCACGACCCCAGCCGGCACTGCGCATGCGCGTGACGGTGGTGCCTTCACAGACCCGTCAATTGTCCACCCTTTGAGAGAGGCCGTAGCTGCTCTCAGAAGGGGAACAGTTGACGGACTGTTTATTGTTTTTCTTTTCATTTTTTCGAGCTGCGCCCTTGGCTCGAAGCCTGGGGTGCGTCAGCGGAAGATGATTTATGACAGAAAAATCAATAAGTGTGTGACATGTGTTTATGCGGACTTGAGGATGGTGTTGAGGCATCTCTCGAGGCGGCGGGAACACATTTAGAGCTGGGAACCGTAGACTTCCAGCTCTGTCACAGAGGGGAGAAGGAGGGGCTGTCACACTGCCTTCTTCTTCCTCGACTGCTGGCCGAAATTCTGGGTTGGCTGCGCCTGGGCTGCAGCCGGAACCGGAGATTTCTCTAGGCCAGCTCGCCCTCGTCCCCTGCCTGGGCTGGGGAACTCGGGGCGGACTGCGACCTGCGTTTTCGGTTATTTTGAAACGCGCTAGGGTTCGGGGCAGCTTGGACGAAGGGCTGCCGCTGCGAAGGCAGCGGCTGGGCCCTTCGGGAAGGCAGAGGGTGGAGGGCCTCGTCCTCCTTCGTTTTCGACTCGCATCTGCTTTGCATGGATGGCAAAGAGCGGAGCCGAAAATCCCCTCGGGAACGATGGGCATGTCAAGCAACATCCTCCTTTTCCCCGGTCTGGGACGGTTGGTGAGGTTGAGCCATCTAGCTCTTCCTGCACCACCATGATCACCCATTGTTTTTGCCCGTGGCCCCTGGACGGCCGCAGCGTTGGACACGGAGACAAATGTCTGTGACCGCGGGCCAACTCGTCCAGAACGGCCGGTCCAGGATTACTCGACATATCCTCACCAGAGCTCCGCTTGGTATGCGGTTAGCAGTGAGGAAACGTTCAGAGCCCTGGCGGACAACGCTGCGGCTCTCTGTAGGACCGTTCCGTCATGGTCGACTGGAAATGGTCCACCTTCGCTGGCAGCGTGGGGTTCCTGCTTGGTGACGGGGCCCATCCTCGGTAGGAGGTGGGTTGCCACCAGCAGTTCCATCGGCGGTATGCGGAGCAGGCCAAGCCTCTCCATACCGTCGCAGTCTAGGGAGGAGGCACCCTGGATTGGGGCCTTGTTGGTAAAGGGTCGGTCCCTCCACGAGACCGACACCTCATCCAACATCTCCGGGAAAAGGACCGGGAGGAGTTGCCTCCTTGTCCTCGTTGCTTGGGGAGAATGTTTCCCCTCGTAACGGGACCTGGCGGTCTCCTTGGCCATTTCGGGCCACGGGATGTCTAGCCTGGACGCAGTGCGCTGACACGCGGCCTGCAGGTCCATGCTTAGACAGGGCGAAGCTGGTGTGCTTCTTCTTGCTCATCCGAATCAGACAGGAGGGACTCAGAGGTGTCCTCTTCGTCCCCCATGTAGTCTAATCTCCAGGACATTCCCAAGCGGGCGAGACCATGGTGAGGTCTCGCCGGGAGCTCCCGCCTGGTGAGGCGTGGGGCTCCGTTCCCGCGTCTCTTGCCGCCACCGGGTTCCCGGCCCTGACACGGCATGGGATCCCGGTTCGGCAGCTGCCGCTTGTAGTGAGCCCCAGGACCGACACAGTGAGGGGCTCAGTCTCTGCAGCGGACGCCCCCGTGTCTTGATGCCAAACGGCGAATCAGTGGACATGAGGGAGTCCTGTTCCAACAAGCTAGCTTGGTGTGCTAGCCGTCGGTGTGGAGGCTCTTTCGGGTGAAACGGGCACAATGCCCGCACGAGCCGGGGTTGTCGATAGCCTCCTGGGCGTGTTCCAGCCCGAGGCAGGACGAGCAGACCTGGTGTGAGTCTGTGCCTGCTATCTTCAACCCGCAGCCGCATGACCGAGCCTCCGAGTCCCTGACTCCTCTGGTGTGAGGGGGAGAGGCGTCCATCTTATTCGCCCTCGTGGCGTGGAGAGGACCCGCTCGTAACAGGTACGTCGTTGAGAGAAAAAGTGTTACCAACCCGTCCTTAATCCGGAGAGAAAAGGGGACGGTGTGGGTCCTTTGTTCTCAAAGAATATTGACTGGTGTTGTCAATATACTTCTAATCCTTTTCTCCTCCGTGAGAGAGAAAAAGAAAAAGCGTCCTCGCTACCGTGGGTGTCGGTAGTAAGGGGAAGCTAGCTAGCAACGGGTGCGTAGCTAGCTTGAGAAAAATCAAACCTTACCTTACTTTCCGGGGAAGAAACGGCCGAGGTCGATTTTAATACTAACTGGCGTTAGTATTACCGTCTTCTTGCGAAGCAAAAGGAGTAAGCCGGTGAGCACCCGTCGACCCGAAATGGTTATATTTGGGTTCAGTCTGTGGACCGTTAAGCTTGTCCGGCTACTATAGAGATGTTCTCTGAAGCGAGAAGAGGTGTTTGAATGATGCATGCGTCGTGGCGCAAGCTACTTATAGGGGGTGATTCCCTGACGCTGACGTCAAGATCACCAGCCAATCAGGATTGGCGTAATGAGATTGATGCTTCTGTTTGCTCCGCGATGAGGCGCATCCCAAGTGAGACATCGAACGGAGAGTGTTATGAATGAGAACTGCAATTCCGTTATCTGCTGTCCGCTCTGTGCTCCGTGCGCTCTGGGTCCTGGCAATTTCTGCCTTCCCTTACGTAGTAAACAATAAGTAAAGTCTGCTGCGTAATGTGCTTACGCTGGCTGGCATTCTTTATACTTTACGCAGGGACCATATCTCTGGAACCCATGGTCGATTTGGGTGATTTACACCCTTTTTCTTAACCATTACATCCAATAGAATCGATGGGCAGTTCCCAAATCCACGTAAACATTACCATTGCGGACGTAATAGATAAGCAAACGAAGAGCATATTCTGAAAGTACAAGCCTGGACGGCAAAACTTTATACCCAGTATATTGCCATAAATATGATGATGGATTATCAGTAAAAATGTCTACGTGACACAAAGACATTTGGATTAACCTTGAGCGGCGTTTCTTTTTATTCCGTTGAACACAACTTTTGATCACAAATCAAAAAGGTAAGACGTAATTATTGTAATATTTTGAAACCGGATGTAGTTTACTTTTTCTTTTCTGGCTGATTGTTCCAGGAATTCGGGGGTCGTTACCGTGATGACATTACATGTGTGGAATCTGTGGAGTCTCAGCTTTAATCGGATATCTTGTTTGTGCAGTTTACGATAAGTAATAAGGGCATTTCTACCGTTGAGTGCTGTGCAAAAGTCCGTCTAGCATTAGTTAGCATTTTTTTCGCTCCATGCTAATTCAAAGGCTTGGTATTACTCTTGTGTTTCTTTTTAGCTTAAAAATGGTTCACTATTGTCAGTTAGATGAGTTTCTTACCGTTTTAAAAGGGTATGGAACATTAATAGTTTCATAAATGTTAAGAAGCCCTGAGACATATAGTCTCGTAAGAAAAACGGTGGGAGGGGTCCACTGGGGGGGACCTCGGGCTTAAGAGGTATTAAAGCTCATTTGGAAGGACAGATGCCTCATTAATCCCCATCAATTATCATAACTGGCAACCAATAGTTTTAAAAAAAGTGGGTTACTGTTGTATTTGTCCAAAAAAAAAAGTATTAGTTCTGTAATGCTCTTCCCATTATAAACTTTTTCTGACATGGTTGCACACTTCAGTCAAGTTCCCATGGGACCCTCTCTCTCTCTACCATGTTTTCTAATTACAAATCTAATCGTAGGCCAAGTCAACAAAGACCCAGGCACTATTTACTATTACCAACACAATTATTATCTTCATATGGCAGATAGAACCAGGACAATGGTTCATTTTGTGTGTGTATATCAATACAAGACAATGTTGTTTTTTTCTACAAAAATACTTCAAATCTATAATGGCAATACAGAAACAATCCATTTTCCAAAATGTAAGGCTTTGATTGAAGGCCAGAGATATGAACATAGAGCAGTGAGTACCTGAGAGGAAGCTGGTGTTGCCTCCAATCTGAGTTCTGTTTGCGGAGGGAGGACAGAAGGGGCTGTCGTGACTCTCGGGGATGCAGCGGCTGCGCTCGTGAAGAAGTTCGATCAACCGCCGTCGTCTACGGAAATTCATCCTGAACTGGAAGAGCAGGGGTCCATTGGCAAAGTGGTGTTTGTTGGTGACTAAAAGAAGAATAAATATGATTTGTTAAACATAAGTAGAGAGGAATAAAAACACGGGAATCTTTAGTGTTAAAGTTTGTGAAGAAGGTAGAAATCAAAAAGGATGAGGAAATTGATTATGACATTTCTAAAACTATAACATGAACCATTGTCAGTTAAATGTCTTTCTATACTATTTAGAGTCAGACTCTGGCTTCTTGCACCCAAGTCCGATTATTTTTACTAAGGGCCCCTTTTTTCCCCACATGTCAACTTGGCTCCTCAAATGAACTGAGTGTAATCGAACCTGAAACTTTAAACTTGACAGAGCAGCACTTAACAAACTGTACGCTCACCTGAGCTGATGAACAAACATGAAATGACCTCAGAGAGCTTCAACCTCAGCTACCCTCAGCTGGAGGCAGAGTACACTTCAAAATAAATCAATATGGACCTGACAAAATCACATGAAACTGTCAATTGAATGTTAATGTGCAAGCCCAGGATTTATTTGAGTGAAGTTATTCAATATATATTACAAAAAATAAAGTTTTGGTGAACACTGAAGAGAAAAGGTTAAGTCTTACAGGATGAAGCACATATTAATAGTCTTGACTCAAGAGTTGCTTAATCTTTGTTTTTTTAAATGAATACCCCGTATTTTATCTAATTATTTATAGCTTTGTTTGTTCATGATTTTGGAAAGGAGTTCAAAACTATAGACTACTTAAGTAAATTAAAAATATATTGTTTATTAAAATAAAACAAGGGATGACGATGAAGCACCTAGCAACATACATCTGTAACCTGCTCAGAAATTGAAGCCTAATAATTCTGTGTTCAATAAGTAAGCCTGTATTCCTTAAGCCTGCTCACTGCTGCAGACTGACTTATTTTCAACAAAAGCTACGCTGTAACGTCGTATCGTGATGAGTCATCAGGCCCATTCATATCACCCCCCCCCCCACCCAATTAAAACCACTTTTTTTTTATAAAACCAGCTTTATTTAAGACATTGGAACACTGGCTCAATGGGAAACCTATAGTTAAATGGTCAGTTGGATTATTGCGTTGCATTTAACAGTTTGGTTTCCTTAAAAATAAATTTATATAGCCTGTTAGACCTGACCTTTGGATTTGGTTATGAGCCCAAATTCTCCGCATGCAACATGGGGTTCGATTGTATTTCTGCTGTGTATCTATTTAGTTATCGTTTGATTCATTGGGCTTGTGGTTAATTCACGTGTCCTTTACAAGGCTAACAAATTCCTTTCATCGTATGCGACAAAAGGAAACACACACTATGAAACAGCCTTTAGAGGAGTGTTTCACTCTCATCTCCACATTAAACATGGACAAGGAATCAGGTTTCTCTGCTAGTTTTTCAAATTCTTCTAGTGCTGCTTATTTAGAGTCAGTTAGACATTTACTGCCTTGCCCCAGTATTATCACACCTGCTGTTGTCTTTTTGTAATAGCGATACAGCAACTTTTACTCTGACCATTCATGTGATTTATATACTTGATTTGTTTATAGTATGAACATTATCTGCAACCTTTAAGGCCCGTTCTAAAGCTCCCCTCTATCCCTATTCTCAGCTGGTCAGATGTATAGTGTAAAAAAACAGTGACCATATTGTCCCATGGTAAACAATGAGCACAATGCGGAACCATCCAGACCTTTCCTTCTTTATAATATACGTCATGATGTGGTAGCATGACCTCTGCACAATAACGCAGATAACAGTTATCCTACACCAACATGTTTGTAAGTGTTACTAATGGGAGCTGAGGCCTGTAAACACATGATCAATAACACTTTATTACTTTAAATCACTCTCCCTACTGTAACTAAAGGGTTTGGGATGATATGAACAGTGCAAAGTCTGCATATCACGCAGCAGTGGAGCATTTGTTTTCCACAGGGAGGGTGACACTATGAGGTCTGTATTACATAAACTAAGTGAAGTGGGAGCAGTATTTTCATGAATTATTATTCCTTATGGACAAACAGTCTCTAATCCACATTACATTTGTTCTGCATGCTGTGTTTAAGGCTATCTTGTTTTTAATATGTTTAATAAGTTGTTTGTAATATGATTTATTCTATCCTGTATTTATTCTTTAAAATGCTGCATGGTAGATTTCAGAATAAGAATGGTGAAATCTACATAACGGTTTAAGTTCCAAATGGAAAAAACTAAAACCTTCTAGCAGTGAGGACATCTGCCTCCTCTGCAGTAATACACACTAATTAAATCAGACCTGGTATAAACTACAGGTATCAGCGTCAAATCAAATTTCCTGTCGTGCGGTAACCCGACGGAAACTCATTCAGGATTCACGTTCAATGTTAAAAAAAAATTGTAAATATAAAACTGTAGTGGTCTGACTGTAAGAGGAGGAGAATGAGACCATCAAGGAAGTGGTCAAGGACATAAAAAGAGAAGGAAACGTATAGTCTGATTAAAATTAAGTATGAGATTATAGGACATGTTTAAAACATAACTATATAAAGTTGATAAAATGAGTTCCCACTTCAACCAGCCTCAGTACACTAAATACTGTTTTGAATGAAGGAGTATTTTCACTTAGTGGTACAAGTACTTTTTCTTACATAACTAAGACTCTAAGCCTAACCGATTCACATCCTTTCAAGGTGTATATATATATATATATATATCACCTATTCACAGATAACATGATAGCTAGTAGAACTTGTTGACCTTGTGATACCTGTGACATCATGTCACATTTTTGCTGGTGTTTTATTTCTCTGTAACATTCAGTACCTCTTGAACAGGGACCGAGCCATGTAGGTCAGGAAACGAGACACAGAGAATCAAGACCGAGTGAAATACAACCCCAGCCGGCGTTTGAGACATTATGTGGGTCAGTTCAGAACGACTGGGAGCCCACATGAAACTTCAACAAGTTTTAGGGGTGGACGAGAACGAGAGCTATTTAAAATAGTTTCAGGTTGCAGGGCTAGAATTATTTCTAAAATATATTTTTTTATAAAGGGGCCACTGTAATCTATCTAGGCAATCTTTGATGCTAAAGTGGCCAGTTAAGTGTTCTCTGTGTTGAAAACATTGACTTTTCATAATCAAAACGGTTGTCTTTAGGTGTGCAAATAGGGGCTGTAATCACACTGAGGTCTACAACAGTTACTCGGATTGCATGATTGCCAAGGAGCAAATAGTCAGGCCAGTAGGGTCAGTTGATATGACGTACTGAGCTCTTTGAAAGGATCATGTGATTACAGCAGGGGAATAACTTTCACCAAGTGTCAAGCACAGATAATTACTCTGTTGATAGCGTCTGCCGCCCCAGCTGAAGCAGAAGCAGCAAGTAATAAAATGCGTTGAGATTATATTTCCTACATTTGATCACAATTATTATAACCTTATTTGTGCTAGCATTGAAATGTTTAATTTTGGCTGAAAGGTGAATTGTTCTCATAATATATTTAGTTTTTAGGCATATGGGACTTTTGTTTATTCTTATATTTCTTTATATTTTGCGACTAAACATTAGTGCTGTGTACCCAAAGACCTGATTCAAAAAATTATTATATCGGCATAAAAAAAGAGTAGAATCAAGTATTTCAGATTTCATTTCAAATTCAATATCAAAGATAGACATTTTCATAAGTAACAATATTGCTAAAAACAATGTTAGCATTTCACATCATTTAGCATTCAATTATACTGAATTTGACTTTGATAAAAGTGTCAAAGGTATCGGACTTTAGACTAATCAGAGTACATTTTGTTGCATTTTATTTATCATACCAAATAAAGTGTTTGGAAACAAAGGAGTAATTGAGTGATGCCTGATACGGTAGGTTCTTTAAATAGTTAGATAAAACAACAGTTGAGCGTCTTCCTCACCGTGCTGGATGATGCCATGTTTCCAGGAGCCTGCACCCCAGCTGCTCCGCCTCCTCCCTGGCCGCATCTCGCCCTCCTGCAGTAGCCAGTCAATGAACTCAGAGCCCACCAGCGCTCGCTCATACGTGCCGCCTCTCTCCTCCCCTGGTTTGTAACAAGGTGTTTTCTGTGTTCATCAACCTGTGGAGAGAGAAGACGAGAGCACATTTCTGTTACTATAATTGGTTCAGAAGTTAGAGAGATGGGACTGAGACACTGAGTAGAGTGTTGCATTCAAAAGAATGTTATCAATACACTGAGTGATATATTAAACGAACCACTCGCCCCACTGATGGTGGTTTAAAGTTTAGCTTTGTGGGAACTGTGAAAAGTTCACACTCAGCAATTTGAATCCACTTAGGATCTAAGTGCAGTATTGTTGTCTCTTTCAGGCAAATATGTTATAAAACACTACATTTGGGGCCCTAGCTGAGGTCTCCAAAGCAACAGATTGCAGGACATGTACTTTAGTCGTTTTAGTTGTAGATATTCATCTGAAGAAACAAAATGTGAGTTGTCAGAATGCTTCACATTGTTAACAGATATATTCGAGATACTTTAATTTTTAAAAAGGGAATTTCCAGCAGTGAAAGCCCTCCACACCAGCAGCTTTCTCATTTCTCCACTCTGTAATTTGTCTGGTCAAAGAGCACAAAGACTGCGCTGTAACTGTGGGGGTAAGCGCTTCAGCCACATATGTGAATTTTAAAACTAAATTCATGTTATTTCTTGAAGCCTTGTACACGAAAACTATGAATCAACAAACAAAACCAGACATGTACACACATGCCAAGGACATAATCACTAAATATCTTCCTTTAAACACACATTAACACCCTAACACTGAGACCTAAACTCTCCCACAGAATAAACCTGCCAGGCAGCGGTTATAAGAGATGATAAGCTCTCTGTGATACACCTGTACATGTCATAACATGTGCTACCAACTAAATGTACCATCAAATAGACAGAGATACTAAACATGTCGCCTCGTTGGGCTGTGTTTGGCTGCTGGCACAAATACATTCCCACAGTCTGTTTAAACAGCTGTCATTCACTAAACTGTCATTACAACACACCAAACTGTTCAATACAGATAGGTAGATGTCAATTGAAAGATTTGTAATAATACCCAGAACATTTAATGTACTTAAATGATTGAAAACTTAAAGTTATCCTTTTGCCAAGGGATTCAGGTTCCATAGAAGAAACAGTGCTGCCTGCCTAGTTTTCAGAGAATAGAATCATCTCTAAATCTTTATTAGTTAACCGTGGTTGTGACTTTTAGCAAAACAGATAAGCTAGTCAGTAAAGAGATTCAATATATACAAAATTCATAGATGGAGGGTTAAAGGAAATGTAAGACATGCTTATCATACGTGGCAGATTCTGTTAATTTTGGACAGATCAGCCCCTGTTTCAAGTTGTTATACTAAACTAACCTGCTTTGGAACTGGCTTCTTATTTACTGTACAGGCACAAGAGGTAATCTTCTCATCTAACTTACGGCAGGAAAACAAATACGCTTATTTTTGTTTGGCATGGACAAGCCATCAGCTCTATTGTTTATACATTTCCTGGGATGCCAAACATTAATGGCAAAACCTCCAGAGACCAGGACAACAATTTGCACTTTAATGAAGCTGAATGAGGATCCTGATATGTGAAATTGAACTAAATGAATGCTAAATGAAGTGCACCAGTGTGTAAAAATAGAGTGTTTTCTGCCATCCTCTCAGAGAGGTTAATTCAGCAACAACTGATGATCCAAAGCAGCAGGCCTTAAACCAAGGTAAGATAACATCTTCAATAAACCTGGTCCCATGGTGACACTATATTCCTCAAAGTTCACCCCGGGTTGAGGTAAAAATTAGACCTGCAGTTTATATGAATCTAAGAGAAATGGTTTGAGTTGCACACCCAGGAATGCTTTAGTCCTTCACTCATGTAAAGTAAAGATGTTGTTAAGATATCAAGATATGAAAGATGAGGAGCTTTGTTGGAAAACAGCCCAGACTATCAGGCAACATCATCATTTAAATGCTGAAAGAAGTGGACATAATGTTCCATGAGACGTGCCTGAGCACACAATAACCTTTAATCCATTTAAACATGGTAAGTCAACAGATCATGATGTGTTTGCTTAAAGAGATTGTCTCAACGTCCGGTACTTAAAAGTAAACGCAGTGCTTGGGATAATAGCATCTTGGGTGTATGCAGTATACTATGCAAATCATGACACTGTTCATATAAAATGTATCCTGATGACTTAAGGTGGGAAGATGCACACTGCCCTGACTTGGATATGCACTCAGCGTAGTTGCTCAGTCAGCATACCTAACTCAGCTGGAGTTAGGTAGAGGTTGTAGGACCACCACTGACTGCCTGCACTCAGATCCGGTGTTGCATGGTGTTTGGGCAGTGGGCACTGATAGCCATGCCACTACTTTTAGAAATACAAATATGACTTTATAAGTCATTTAAGGGACATGTGAAGGCACTATAAAGTAAATCATAGGGTCACAGGCCGGCAAAAGTTTTAGGGAAAGTCATTCAAACTAAAAATAAAAACACCAGAGCAAAAATCATCTGAACCAGAGGTTGATATACAGTAACCAGTACATGTTTTTTCTCTCTACCTTTAATTATTAAACACTGAACCTGAGTCATTTCTATATATAGATTATTTCTACAGTTAGTACAACTGTTAGTGGAGGTAACCAATTGTGTCTGCCTTTTTTTTAATCAATTAAATGGTTTCGCATTGTGTTTAACAGGAGAGGCCTCGCAGCTCAGTATTATTGAGCATTACTACCAAAGATGCCCTTTAACAAAAGATGACAGATTTAAAGCTGCAGCATATGGTTATGACATGTATACACGTGTTCATGAGCTTGTTTTCAGCTGCATGACACATGACAGCTAAGTGAGTTACTGCAAGTTTTTCTGATACACAAACAGTTTAAAGCACAACATGACCATGAATTTCACTTTCTCATGTCAGAAAATGTTATGTTTTGTACAGTTCTTAATCTCGCTC